AATGGACTGAGGTCGTAGAAAGTCGTGGGAAACGGGCTGATATCGTGATAACACTATCGATAGCCCATCTTCTTTTCTTTGCCGATGTTGCAGCGAGGGATGGAGGCGGATTTCTGTTGCAGCCAGCTGCTGAGTTACCACCCAGTCGGTACCAGTGCAGTATAAACCCTTTATAGCATCCCACATGTCTGTATAATTGTTTGTCCAGCCTCCATCTTCCTTCTCATCCTCTCAGGCACAAGCAGCTGCAGCGGGAGGTGGAGGCCGAGCGTAAGACCGCCATCAATAACCTGCGAGAGTCACGGCTGCAGCAGCAGCAGCAGCGGCAGCAGCAGCAGCAGCAGCAGCAGCAGCAGCATCTTGACGGGCTGCCCTCCCGGCGTGACGCAGGCGACGACGACGACGCGGACCGCGTGGATGAGCTGGCGGCCCACTGCGACACGCTGCAGCGATGTGTCGAGCAGACGGAGGCAGAGAGGAAGCGCGCGGAGGAGGAGTGCGCGGGGAAGATGGAGAAGATGAAGGCGTTCTATGCGGAGGAGGCTCGCGCGGCGCGGGAGGAGGCACTCGCGCAGAAGGACGAGCATCTGCGGATGCTGGAGCAGGACCTGGAGTACCTGCACGCCAGGTAGGTAACGAGAGTATGGCTTCACTTGATGGGGAGGGATGATGGGGTTAAGGGATGCCAGGCGTGGGCGAGGAGGTGGCTTCACATGGGTGGGAGTTGACGGGGGAGGAGAGGCATCTGTGGATGCTGGGAGCATAGTACCTGTACGCCAGGTGGGTAACGAGAGTATGGCTTCACTTGACGGGGAGGGATGATGGGGTTAAGTGATGCCAGGCATGGCGAGCAGCAGCACTCTCCGTGTACATATATGTGTGTGATGTTATAGAGAGGGAGAGCTGCGAGCGGCGATGGACCAGCGCGTGGGCGAGGTAAACGACCGCGTTGAGAGTCTCGCGCAGCAGCTGACACACAGCAAGGAGGAGGAAGCCACGCTGAGGGAGGAGGTCTCCTCCCTGAAGGAGAAGCTCAATGCCAGCGAGGAGGAATCCAGAAAAGCCCAGCAACAGGTGTGTCGCGCGGCGGTCGTCAGAGCACGCCGCTAGGGCCGTGCAGCTAACTAGAGTGCGCGACCAGTGCCACACCCAGAGATGCCAACCACTACGATTTATCCGTATTTTATACGAATTTCTATTCTTTTTGCACCACTACGACCAGTTTGTATCAAACTACGAATTTCACTGTGATAAAAAAAAAAATTTTGTTTGTTTATTATTGTCATTTTTTGTCAATTTATTGTCATTTTTGACCTTCAGAATGCAGGAAATTGCATCACAAAATCAAAATTTTTTCTGGGGGGCATGCCGGACCCCCCTAGCAACTTGATGGCCAGAAACTACAGATTGCTTCAAATATGTGTTGGCATCTCTGCACACCGCTCACCAGAGTGGCCACCAGTGCCACACCGCTCACTAGAGTGCGCTACGGGTTTCTACTGCCTGGTGCCAAGCGTGTCTCCATTTTCGTGGAGCGAATTCAATTCATTCGGTCAATCTACGGAAGCTATTTCCTACGTATTTTAACATCGCGCGTTATTGTTGCATTGTTTGTACCAATTGAACTAAGGCAGTCGTACGTCTGTGTTTCGCTTAGAATCGATAGTAATCGAAGTAATTTGCCGTGCGACTGCGAATAGATGATTAGTGTAAAGGCCACTCACCAGAGTGCGCCTCTCACCATAATATGCCTCTCACCAGAGTGCGCCACTGTCTGTCTAGAGCGAATTCGTTTTATGAAGTTTCTAACGAATTGTATATTCTTGCCGTTTTTATTAATTACATTACGACATTCGTATGGATCAATTTTCTGAGGTTTGTTTTTATTCAACGTTGCACGTCCGGTGTCCATGCCATTAGACAAAGACTCCTATATATTTTTGTTGCGTCGAAATGAATCGAAGGATTGGTGTGATCGCTGTGTTCGTTATTCTCTGGCCGCAGTCTAAAATGTTGTTCTCGGTGACTTTAGATTAAAGATGGGCTGGCCAAGAAGTCTGAGCTTGAGTGCAGGCTGAAGGAATCAGAGAATGAATTTGCTCAGATGGTGGAGAAGTGTGCAGAGATGGACAATCAGTTAATGAACAAGAACAGTAAGTGAAGCAGACACTTCGGCAGTAAGACTATATTGCAGATATCGTTTTCATAGTTGCCATCGTTTCATAATCATCCATTTACTATAGTGTTTTTTTTTCGATTTATGGTCGAACAACCAGTATATTTATATATATACTACGTCATTGTCACCGGTACACAAGTGTTCCTCTTAGCAGAGGAGAAAGAAATGTGAACATGTGTTGTGCCTCGCTGTGCCTGTCTTTACCCACAACTATATCAACCACACACTCTAAAACTCGCTCCGTGAATGAATAGGGGAAAGAGATACTATGATTGCTTAACTGCCTAGTGGGACAGGTGCCATATATATGTGTGTGCGTGTGTGCGCGTGCGTGCGTGCGTGCGTGCGTGCCTGTATGCGTGCATGTCTGTGTGCGTGTGCGTGCGTGCGTGCGTGCGTGCGTGCGTGTGTGTCAGTTCTTTATTGTCTATCCACTAACATCATTTTGATGTCCGTAAGGAACGTGGGTGTGGATTCACATGTGGATTCCATAAACTTGTGTCCTGTGGTCTTACTATTGATGAAATTTTTCTTTATGCTAGATGAGTTCTATATTACAATCAAGATCTAATAAACACCCCTGTGTAAACTGTAAAACACACATGTGTTTATTAGCTCTTGATATAATTACTGAGCAAGTAGTTACGACGCAATACGATTCTCGATTATATATTATCGATTATCAACAGTAGTTGATTGATCTGTAGGTTTTACGTGAGTTATGTGCATATGTGCGTAACCTTGGGCGAGTATGAAAGCAGAAGAATGAGGAGGAGAAGGAGGAGAAGGAGGAGAAGGAGGAGAAGGAGGAGAAGAATAAGAAGGAGAAGGGCAATGGGAAGTAGAAGGAGAAGGTGAAGTGGAAGAGGAAGAGGAAGAAGAAAAAGAAGAAGCAGAAGAAGAAGAAGAAGAAAAAGAAGAAGCAGAAGAAGAAGATGAAGAGGAAGCGAAGTCATCTAGAGTTGCCTACCAGACGTCTGACAGAGATCGTGCACACCCACGTGCAGCCAGTTTCAGAAATACACGACACAGATGCCAGTGAGGAAAGGCATCAATTACACACACAAGTATACAGGCCCTGTAAAGTACATCGCCCTCATCGATGCAGAATAGCAGCAATAGCAGCAGCAGTAGCAGCGACAGTAGCAGCAGCAGAAGCAGCGGCAGTAGCAGCGATATCAGCAGCAGCAGCAGCAGCAACAGCAGTAGTAGTAGTAGTAGTAGCAGTCGCAGTAGCAG